TCCTTATTTTGGACACACTGTATAATGTGTTTCCGCTCAACAATTTTGTTCCTGCCGAAGCCAGGTCCCATCAAATGACTGGCAGGATATATTTTTTAGTAATCCTAATTATTAGTGAAATGCTAAAAAAAAAATTAACTTTTATAATTTATATCAATTGATATTTTTTTTTACATAAATAATATTATGGCAGGAGTGTATAGGTCTACCAAAAAAGTGGCAGGAGGTCGTTTTATGTTTTATTTAAATGTTATTAAAAAATTGATAAAGTTTCAACTTTTATTATTTTCAACAATTAAACTTTTTTTTTTGACGTAATTAACATATCGCGGTCAATCAGTGTCCCGCTGGTACCCCTGCAGGATTCCATTTTAGTTTTCTATGGCTCCGAGATGATCCAAAAAAAAGTAAAACTGATCGTTATGAAAACACACAAAATTTAGTGTCGCCAGCTCCCGTACTATAATTGAAGGTATCGGGTCTTCAAAAAAAAACCAATCATAGATTGCTTTGGTTACAAAAACGTACGTCGCATTATTGTTTCTTTATTGGTCAGGATTTTTGACATGACATTTTGACATTAAATTTCATTGACTGACATTGTCAAAATTAAAGAAAAATATTGCTAAGACATATGTTTAAAAAACCATAGCAATCTTTGATTGGTTTTTTTTTTGAAGACCCGATATCTATGTTGAAAATACAATATTCTAAAATAATGTCATCTGTAATTTGGTCATCATAATTCGAGTCACAATTAGAAAAAAACAGCTTATTAGAAAAAGTGAATTAAATATAAAATTTTTTTTAGTAAAATCTGAAATCAGCTCTTCAGATTTTTAAAATACATATGAATTAAGGGGTTTTTGGGGATGCTGAATTTTAATTTGATACAGCGGCGCCGACTTTTGAAAGTCCTCATGGGTGCACGATAATAATAAATGACTTTATAAATTTGTTTATAGGGGGAAGGGGTGGGAGAAATTTTTTTTCCGGATGCCACGCCTAAAAACGTCTATTTTATAGTGTTTCCGATTGCTAAATTCGGGCAGCACTAGAGCAACCCTGGCCCGATTTTTGTATTCGATTTTATCCCCCCGTATGTCTGGATAGGTAGTATTTATCCCACCCCCCCCCCGTATGTCTGGACAGGTAGTATAAATTTTAAACAAACATTTAATAATGTATTTATTTTTATTTATACAGGGTGTCCCCGTTCAACTGAGAAAAATGCTAGGGTATATAGAGGAACCATAGAGAACTAATAGGACACCGATAGTCGAAATTGCGCCGTTTCCAAAATACAGGTTATTGAAATTTAAACAACCCCCTTTCATATCATCTGAAGGGCTAATGCTAGGCTGTTCAAATTTCTAGGGATTATTGGAACCAACAAAAAAAAAAATATGGTGTCCTATCTCAAATTAGTTCTTCATGGTTGCTCTATATACCCTAGCATTTTGGACCAGTTGAACGGGGATACCCTGTATAAACACAGTATCCCATTTTGGTTGTACAGGGTATTTGATTAAATTTGGACCCATACCTACAGCCTTTACTGTTTAAGTTAGAAAAAAAATTTAAATACAAAACTTGACAGTTTTTTTCTATATTTTCTTTGAACGGTATCAGAAAAACAAAATCGCATCGGAAAATGGAGAAACGTAGACAGCTTCAGCTTTTTTTAATGGAACACCCTGTATATTTTGCGATAAAATGAAAGATCCTTTCTTCCTGATTCTAATATTCCAAATATATATTTATTGATCACATGTGAGTGAGCCGTTTTTGACATATTTTAGCTTAAATAATAAATAATTTGCAAAGAAATTTCAAAGGATGTCAGGACATTTAAATCTTTATAAAATTTCTTTGAATTTTATTTATAATACTAGCGGGCCCGCTCCGGCTTCGCACGGGTATAAAATATATAGGTAGCCTATGTCACTCACTGAAAAAATGATTAAAATCGATCCAGTAGTTTTGATTTATTCATTACTGCCCGTGGCCCACACGCGTTAAATTTGGAGTAAAACACTTCTCCTTTCCCTTTACCATGAAGATTTCCTGCTATCTTTGGAATATCTAAATTCATACACTACATTTTTACTTATTTACTTTTTACATTTTTACCTATTTATTTTATTTTTACAACAATTGATATATTACAGAATCAACAATGTATTTAAGGTATTTAATTGGATAAGGATTAATGCTGTATTGGTTAAAATCGCTTCCTGCGTTTGCAAGCAATGTAAGCGGAAGAAATGTAATTATTTACATCACATTGGAAACCTCAAAAATAACAGTATTTCTCCACTATTTAATGGATGTTATTATACATATAAACCTTCCTCTTCAATCACTCTATCTATTAAAAAAAAAACGCATCAAAATCCATTGCGTAGTTTCAAAGATTTAAGCATACATAGGGATATAGGGAATAGGGACAGAGAAAGCGACTTTGTTTTATACTATGTAGTGATAAGCTAAGATATATTAAAATCGGCTTACCAAAATTCAAATGTAATCAATACATATATATTTGGAATCAGGAAGAGAAGATCTTTCATTTGATCGCATAATATACAGGGTGTCCCATTAAAAAAAGTCGAAGTTGCCTACGTTTCTCCATTTTTATATGCGATTTTGTTTTTTTCTGATACCGTTAAAAGAAAAGATAGGAAAAAACTGTCAAGTTTTGTATTTAATTTTTTTTCTTCTTTTATTTCTATCTCAAATAGTAAAGGCTGTAGGTATGGTTCCAAATATAATCAAATACCCTGTACATACATAAGGGACATCTCAGTTGCTATTGGAGTTAGAAGGATACGGTTTTCGCGAACGTTGGCTACATCGCCCTTTCCGTTTTTCATATACAAGGTGTTTTTGAAAAAGTTGCATTTTGAGACACCTCTTGTATATCGGTTCTCTCATAAGTGATCGAAAAGGGGACAACGAGTTCTTATAGATTTTTCTACGTAGATTCCAGTGGCGAAGTCAGTTTTTCTCTAGAAGTGACAGTTTTTGAATAGTGAACCAAACATACGTTTTTTTCAAATGAGACACCCTGTATCAATGGCTCATTGGATAGCTCTGCTTCTGCTGATTTCAATGGTCTAAAGTTCGATAGGTATATCTATCCATCCTGTTTGTTTTTGTCATAAGGAACAAAGTTTCAGAAAAGGACTTTGCACCTTAAGGAAAATGAGAAAGTGAAACACTGCAACACTGTTTCTCATGACAAAAGCAGATAAAAATTTTTTGCTCGAAAACTGTCAAAGATAAAGCTATCGAATTTTATATCATTGAAATCAGCAAAAGCAAAGCTATTTAATGAGTTTATAATATGTAGGGTGTCTCATTTGAAATAATGTATGTTTGGGTTCATAATTTAAAAACTATCGCTTTTAGAGAAAAACTGATCACGCTTCTGGAATCTACGTAAAAATATCTATAGGAACCCGTTGTCACGTTTTCGATCACTTATGAGAGAGCCGAGATACAAAGGGTGTCCCAGAATGTAACATTTTCAAAAGCACCTTGTATATGAAGAACGAAAAGGGCGAGGACAATTTTGTTGACGGCATCTTACGTTTGACAGAAAAGAAGCTAACCTTCCCGAAAACCCGAGCGAAAACCGCATCCATCTAACTCCAATAGAAACTGAGATATCCCTTATGTACAACCAAAATGGGACACACAACAAAATCAAAAAGTAAGTATTTTATAGCTGAACCACTGTTGGAATGACCATTAAACACTTGTACTTCCTCAATCCCCACGAGAGCTCTCATGGGTGCACCTGCCCCGATGCCCCCATGTAGTCGGCGCCAGTGATTTGATACAAAACATTATCTAAAATAAAATAAGCCCTAATATACAACCCCTTTTTACCCCCCAATAATGCACGTCAATGGTAAATTTTTTTTAGCTATGTCAAATAGTTAATTTTGCTAGCATGCAATCACCACCGAGATTTGAGTAAAATGGCATTATTAATAACTGAGATATTCGGGTGTATTAATGAGAATTGGGACACACTGTATATCAAGAACAACAACGGACCCAAAACTGAGCCTTGGGGAACGCCACAGTTGACACCCAATGATGAAGAAGATCACCCAGATGCCAATACACACTGAATACGGTGAGACAAGTAAGACCTAAACCATGACAACAATGAGCCCCTGAAAAGATAGCGCTCAAGCTTTTGCAACAATATTCCGTGATCCACATAATCAAATTATCCACAAATCATATATTCACATGCTTTTTTTGAAGTACTTATTTTTCACCCATTTATTCTCAAACTCTTGCTACGCCTATGCCTATCACTTTCCCCTATTTTCTTTGGGATTTGCTACCTGAGAGCCCCAATATTTATTGTTTTGGAGCCCTCAAAAAGTGTTTAGAGGGTGAGTGTGTCTAATGCTACATCAGTGGGTTTTATTCTACACCTACAAGATAGCGAATCCAATGGACATGCAGGTAGAAATATTTGTCCAATCTGTAAGGGATTGAAACTTTTTGAGCATGATTTGATTAGAGTAGATTTTGAAAAAATTTACTAGGTATAGCGCAATCAGTGTGAATGTTAAATAGCATAATAACCTCGATAATAACCTGGAAAATTCAAATTATCAAAATAACTAATAATCAATAGATCATCCAATAGACTTATAATTATACCAATGTTAATATGATACATTTATGCTCCAAACTAGTCCAAACCCTTCAATAACTGAATTATTGGAATATCTAAGAAAATTAGAAATCTCTCAAAATATTATCAAACAAAGGGTTGTTTATTTGGCACAAGTTCAATTTAAGAGCCCCTCCCTGTAATGCCCTAACTCGTGCTCTAACTAGAAAAATTTTTACTTTTTTAAAAAAGCTACAGTATAGGTATAACTTTTTTTCCTGCTTCTATAGTTGATTATTGATCCCATAAAATACGAAAAACCATGGTTGAATAACGTAAAAAAAACTATATTTACCTCTTTTTCGATTTGCCTTTGCTGGGCCAAAATAAGTTCGTCTTGGTTGCTGGTCATTTCTTTGTTAGAAGTATTAGCCGTGGACTGGCCTACGTCGCCCATTCTCTATTAGAAAACTGAGAATTTAAAGGAAAATTAAGAGGAAATTAGAAAATCAATGACAAAAGTCTTCATGAAAACAAACTCGAAGAGTACAAAATTGACAAGCGCATGCAAACCACAAATTTTTGTTATTGGGTTAAATTTTCGATTATGCTCATCTTGCTTCAATGACTATAGATAGAAAAGAACGAAAGATGACTGTAAATAAACCAAACGAGTTTTCACAGGGACGTGTACACTATCCTTTTTCAAGCAGTTCTCTCTTGCTCTAGGGCAACTCTAATTTATCAAAACAATACCAGCTGTTTTTGACAAACAACAAAGAAATACAAAATACATAGGACAAAAGAATTTCGATTTGTGATCCTATTTTTGCTTGATTTTGATGATTTAAACAGCCTTAATCGTTAACAGTCTTGCTTCAAGTTAATTATCAAATCTTCAAGGTAATACCTACGCATAATTTAATCTTAATTCAGTGGGCCATTTCCACTTTCACTTTTTCATTTGAATCAAGTTCCTGTTACTCACTTATCATTATTTATTATTTGCCCCATTATTATTTTAATATAAACAATTCGTATTCTCAGCTCAGCAACAATGGGTAAGATATTTTTGGAACACATGGGTGGAACTCGACTCTTTTCCTGTGCGAGATGTGACACAAACTTAACTAATAGATCGGAATTAATTAGTACGAGGTTCACTGGTGCTACAGGAAGAGCCTTTTTGTTCAACAAAGTGGTCAATCTAATCTATAGTGATGTACAGGATAGAGTTATGCTAACAGGGCGTCATATGGTAAGGATTTTTCCTCGGATTTTCCAATAGTTACTTGTTCACTTCAAACTCATCTTGAAGTTAGAAGTTGGATCGTTTTGGAAAAAACCCAAAGAGAACAAAAAATTCACTAATGATTAGGTAGTTGTTTTATTAAGAGAATAATCTCAATCATCCTAAATAGGAGTACTCGGGCGGCCTCGAATTGCGCACTTTATACCTGGGTCCTATCTATTTTAACACGAATTGCACACTGTACAAAAGAGGCCCCAAATTGACAATACTCGAATTGCGCACCGAAGATTATGATAATTTGGTATTATAAAAATAATATGTTCATTTCTGATAATCATATTAGGTGCACTTAGAATCTCGCTTAGAATGGTTGCAAGTCAAACAGCATACAGGGTAGCTCAAACAATATCAAAATTGTACTGTAAAGTACCCTTATTTTAGAAAATTCAGCAAATTGTTATAGAGAAAAGTTGTTTGGAATTGAAAGTTATGCCTAAATACCAAAACATAGCCTCCTAAAATTTGTTTTATTTTTTTTAGAAAAAAATCTATAATTTCTATATTTTTTTTATTTTTTATTTTCGCCCTGAATACTTTCAAAAATTAATTAAAATCAAATCAATTTTACATAACTTTGTTCATATTTTTTATGAAATCACGAAGTTTATGTTTGTTGCAATGATATTCAACATTAGGCAATCCAACGACCTGTCCAAATGGCGTCTGGTTGGCAAACAATAAACAAAAAACATATGTTTTTTTTTTGGCAGGATTAAGCCTAGTAATCATTACAGCGAAATTCGCTCTTTTTCAACATTACTTCGACAATTTGACGTTTTATGCGTGAATCAAACGTCAAAGCAATGTCAAAAAAGAGCGAATTTCGCGGTTATGAGTACTAGGCTTTATCAATACACGGGGCGAGTACTCAAATATGACACTTTTCTGACATCGTTGACATGTTACAGCCCGTATTCTAACCTCATAAAAATTTCAAAATGCCGGCTGGTTGGCAAAAGTCACCTGGTTTGGATTCCCTAATTATTTAAAAAATAACCTGCAATAGGGAACAATCACATTTTTCAAAGTATTTTTTTTCTTATTGCTTATGTTTTCAAATATAAAATGTATATGTTTTTTTTTTGTTTTATGTCCTCATTGAAATAAAAAAATTATTTTTAATTTCAAATTATTTCCGTTGGCGCGAAAACGATTAGCTTCAAGATGGTGGAATTTGTGACGTCAACTGTCTGTAAACACAACGTTAAGGTCTGTTCTCACAAGAGCCTTTGACACTTTGCAAACTGTCGGAAAGAATCGCTTAGCTTGAACCTTCGACTGCATTGAAACTTGAAAGCGGTTATTTATGAGGTATTTCCGTATTTAGTGCCATATTGTGCCATTCTGTGTTTCAAATAGTTCATCATGGTTGATACAGGATTTACAAAAGCGCAGTCTGACAATCTTCCCTCAATAGACCCGTTTATGGTGGTTCAATATTAGTCGTGGCGTGACGTGAGCTGATCGTGGACCAATCGTTCCACGATTCAAGAGTGAACCACGAAAGTGTGGACCGTGGATTTACGATCAGTGTAAACTACCCTTAACCTTAAATCACGAACAGTTGACGTCACTGGAAGCGGCCATGTCAAACGTAACTTTTCCGCGCGAAACTTTCCAATTAGGGATGGCAAAATTAAAAAATATATCGATATATCGAATCATATGATATATCGAAATAAAATACCGATACATTCGATATATCGAACGGAAAACATCGATATTTTGAATATATCGATATATATTTTATTTTTTTATTTTTTTCTATGATTGTGCGAAATGTGCTTTTTTTCTGCACGCATTTCAGGTCATGAAAATTTCACTTCTCCGCACTAGTGTGAAAAGTAAAATAATAATGCAATGTTAGGCCACCCTGATGGTTTTATGTAATGCGTGCGGAAAAGTACTTTTCCGCACGATCGTAGTAAAATAACGTTCCTTATGGCGGGTATTATGAAACTATTCTGACAGAATAACTAAAAGTTAACTTCTGGAATGTCGTTGCTTCTCATGTAATTCCAGAAGTTAACTTTCATCAACACACAGTCAACAAATGAACTATGCGCACGAGCGAAGGCATTCTTTTAAATTTCCGATATATCGAAAAGATGTCGATATTTTTTTCGATATATCGAATGTAAGATATCGATTAAAATATATCGATATATTTGAGTAATATATCGATATTTACAAAATATCGATATATTTTTGCCATCCCTATCATTGAGTAATCCTCATATTATTCAACATATTCGAATAATCCTTTGAGAAAATTATGTCGCGAAAAATAGCCTAATATGCATTTGTTCTACCCACCTGAAGTCGCTTTCGGGACCTTCAAGCACTTGGAGATTAAGCCTTATATTAGGCAATTTTTCGCCACATAATTTTTCCAAGGATTATATTCGTATATGTTGAGTAATCCAAATGTCATTGGGTAATCCTCAAATTAGTGCGTGAAGTAGTTTACCAGAAAAATGCCAAATTGTAAGTATTGACATCTGTCATTGACATTACTTTACGCACTAGTGTGTGAAATGAATTACTTTACGCACTAGTCTTCTGAATAGTGCGTAAAGTGAGTACTTTACGCACGGTAGTAGGAAAAAGATCTTTCCGCATTGGCACTATACTAACATCTAAAGTTAAATAAATTCTTAACAATTTCGAAATGTTATGATAAGTGAATTCCAAATTATTTTCAATTAGAAAATGGTAGGATTTCAAATGTTGCTATATCATTTTGTATTTTATTTTCTACTTTACTAATATAGATCCATAATACCTAGGAAACGAAATACGTTAACACACCTATAACAACCTGATCCATAACGCCCGCTTTTGCGGGCGTTATGATCTATAACGCCCGCTTATAATACCTTAAGGTGTTTTTGTTGTTGTTGTTCTATTAATTTGCACTTTACCCTAGGCAGCCACTAAATGTCTGACCGAAAATAATTTTCGGTCTAGCCAGGATTCGAACCCGGTCTACCATCAATGTTTCCCATGTAGTCCAGCGCGTTAACCCACAGGACCACCACCGTTGCCTTGCCTTATGAGATGTTTATAGATATATTAATTTATTTCGTTTCTATGTACAGGTCGCAGGTACAGGTATAGGTCAGGTGCAGGTACATGTCAAAATACAAAACAATATTCTGTCACACAATTTTAACTGATTTTGTTAATAACAAATTGATGAAAAAACATTGTGTTGAGTAGAAAATAAAGCATTGTATGCACCACGGGAATTTCAAGATTATAATGCCCTTCAGGCGAAATATATCCCTCGGGCCATAGGCCCTCGGGCTAGTTTCGCCTTCGGGCATTATAATCTACATAATCCCCTTGGTACATAAATAGCTATTAATTTCATTAATAAACATGGCGAATGATTTATATGTATACTTCCAGTAAATCAATAGATAAGTCGTTTGAATAAAATTCAGGACTGTTTAAAGAGATAATTTTCCCTTCGGTATCAGCTATATTCGCTAAACCAGAGCTGGGCAAAGTACTTGGAAAAAGTGCTTAGAGCTAGGGTTTCATCAAGACGAGAAATCTTGACTTGAACGTAATTTCTTGACTTGACTTGAAATTCAAGATCAAGAAATTGAACATGTCTTGACTCGGTGAGTTCTTGAAAGCAAAAGTCTAGACTTGAATTCAAGATATCTTGAAATTTCTTGGCGCGTCTGGCTGATGGGATCGCCCCATTTGTGTCAATAGGTAATTTTTCGCGGCATAATTTTTTCAAAGAACATGTTTATATTGGGTAATCCAAATGTCATTGAGTAGGGATGGCAAAATTAAAAAATATATCGATATATCGAATCATATGATATATCGAAATAAAATACCGATACATTCGATATATCGAACGGAAAACATCGATATTTTAAATATATTGATATATATTTTATTTTTTTATTTTTTTCTATGATTCTGCGAAAAGTGCTTTTTTTCTGCACGCATTTCAGGCCATGAAAATATCACTTCTCCGCACTAGTGTGGAAAAGTAGAATAATAATGCAATGTTAGGCCACCCTGATTGTTTTATGTAATGCGCACGATCGTAGTAAAATAACGTTCCTTATGGCGGGTATTATGAAACTATTCTGACAGAATAACTAAAAGTTAACTTCTGGAATGTCGTTGCTTCTCATGTAATTCCAGAAGTTAACTTTCATTTAACTATCAAAGTAGTTTCATAATACCTAATCATGCGAAAAGTCTCTTTCCCTCATTCAATTGGTACGTACACGCCCTAATTGACGTTTGTTTTATTTTAGCCGCCACTGTCAACTGTCAGACTGTCACAGTCAATAAATGAA